GGTATATACCCAAAGGATTATAAATTATGCTGCTATAAAGACACATGCACACGTATGTTTATCGCAGCACTATTCACAATAGCAAAGACTTGGAATCAACCCAAATGTCCATCAGTGACAGATTGGATTAAGAAAATGTGGCACATATACACCATGGAATACTATGCAGCCATAAAGAAGGATGAGTTTGTGTCCTTTGTAGGGACATGGATGCAGCTGGAAACCATCATTCTCAGCAAACTATCACAAGAACAGAAAACCAAACACCGCATGTTCTCACTCATAGGCGGGAACTGAACAATGAGATCACTTGGACTCGGGAAGGGGAACATCACACACCGGGGCCTATCATGGGGAGGGGGAAGGGGGGAGGGATTGCATTGGGAGTTATACCTGATGTAAATGACGAGTTGATGGGTGCAGCACACCAACAGGGCACAAGTATACATATGTGGCAAACCTGCACGTTGTGCACATGTACCCTACAACTTGAAGTTTAATAATAATAAATAAATTTAAAAAAAAAAAAGATTTTAACAGGATTCTCTGTGTCCTCCTTCTCCAGCAATCAAGGATATATAGGGTACTATTTTGATTCAAAAAGAAAAAAGCAGATTATTCAAGAGAAAACTTAGCAGAAAAAAAACTTGGATAGGTGCTCCACAAAAGAGGAAATCCAAATGACTGCTACTCGTGAGAAAAGATGCTCAACCTGATGGAACATCAAAAAATGTAAAAACACAGTCAATACCAGGTATTTGTAATAATTTGGAGCAAATGGAACTCTCATACATTGCTAATGAAAATGGAAAATAGTGCAGCTGCTTTGGAAAACAGTGTGGCAATACCTACCAAAGTCGAACACATGCATACCTAGCAATTCCACCGCTGTGTATGTGCCCAACAGAAATGCACATATATGTTCACCAAAAGATATGCACCAGAAGGTTCTAGCAGGCCCATTTGTAAGCACCAAAGATTATAATGACTCAAATGTCCGTGATTAGGGTATATTCATATAATACTATACAACAATAGGAATGAACAAACTATAGCTACATACAATAATATAGATGAATCTCACAACCAGAATGCTAAGTGAAAGAAGAAACAAAAGAATATATGTAGTATGTTTTATTTACACACTTCAAAACAGGCAAAACTAAACTATATTTTTAAAGGATGTACGATTATCATAAAGATCAGAATGGTGGATACCTTCAGTGGGAAGGGAGAAAGTATGATTGAAAAGGGACATTCAGTGAGTCTTGTGGGTTATTGGCAATGTTACTGATCTGGGTGATGATTGCATTTTTGTACCAAAGGCATTTGTGTTTTATGCACTTTATTGTACATGTTTTAGTTCACAATTTTTTTTAGTTCACAATTTTAATAGGATTTTTAAAAGTAAAAAGAAAAGAGGTCCAAGGGCTTGACCATGGGACTCTCTTATATTTGGAGTGTGTTTATAAACTCTACATTCATTCAACATTCAACAAATATTTTCTGAGCTACTACTTTGTGCCAAGCACCATTACAGGTGCTGGGAATACAACAGTGAACAAAATAGACAAAACCCCAGTTTTCATGGAACTTACATACTAATAAAGCTTGGCAAAAGTATATTTCAAGGAAGATAAAGTGGTTAACTATGCAAAATGCTTCTCAGACACCTAGGAAAATGAGGATGTGAGGCATTTCTACCTACTTGGTACATAAAATTATTGCTTTTCCTCTGCTTTCTTTTCTCCAGGGCTCAGAGTGGCAGTGTCCCTCAGTTCAAGAAAGTTGTTTTCCAGGAATTTACTGATGGCTCCTTTACTCAGCCCTTATACCGTGGAGAACTAAATGAACATTTGGGACTCCTGGGGCCATATATAAGAGCAGAAGTTGAAGATAATATCATGGTGAGTTAAGGACAATGGAATTACAAGAAAATTAATTTTATATATTTATTTTCTTGCTGACTATGATGTATTCCCACTTTTGGAAATGTTTAAGTATAGAAAAATAATTCCATAATTATCATGTTTGTGTATGTTCTTATATTTTTCCTGTGTATTTTTCTCCTTATATATTCAAATTATACCATACAGAATTCTGATTCTTGTTTTTTAACTAAATATCACATCATAAACATTTCTTATGTCATTAAAAACACTTCCTATGTATGTTTTTAAAATACTGTATAATAGTCTATTATATGAATTTTTGGAACCATAGTTTATGTAACCATTTATTTGAACAACCTTTTAGACAGTTTCTTTTTTCACTATATAAATAATGCTGTAATCACAACAGTTTTTCTAAGATTAAAATTCCAGAAGTGCAATGTATTTGAGCATCTTAAGAGTTTTTCTTTTCTTTTTTTTTTTTTTTTGAGACGGAGAAGAGTTTTTCTTATTAATTATTTGGTAATGTCCCTTGCACATTTGTCTTTTGTGGAGAAAGTGCTTTTCTTATTAATTACGTTGCCTTATATATTAGATAGTAAACCACTGAACATTTTAATGAAAAGTACTTTTTCAAGTTTTTGTTTTCTCTTAATTTTATAAATGATGGTTTTTGAAATAAAACAAATTTTAATTTTTAGATAATAACCCATCAATTTTTACTTTTTGACACTTTGATTGCTTTTATGTTTATAAAAATTCGTGCCTATCCAGAGACTTTTTAAAAAACAGCTATACTTTCTTCAGTTTTTCTCTTACAGTTTAATTTTTTACATTTAACTTTTTAATACTTCCTGTAGACTAAAAGTTATTTTGGTGCATTGTGTGAACCAAAGATCAAAGTAGTTTTATTTTTTTCTGAAAATATCTATTCATTGTTTCAATTAATTGATTGTTTATATTAAGGATGTAGAAGGATCTAAAATTATGGAATTGTGGGCAATTTTTGCCTTACATTTTATTTGACTTTCCATATATTCTATGATAAATATGTATAATTTTTTTTTTTTTTTTTTTTTTTTTTTTTTGAGACGGAGTCCCGCTCTGTCGCCCAGGCTGGAGTGCAGTGGCGCAATCTCAGCTCACTGCAAGCTCCGCCTCCCGGGTTCACGCCATTCTCCTACCTCAGCCTCCCGAGTAGCTGGGACTACAGGCGCCCGCCACTGCGCCCGGCTAATTTTTTCTATTTTTAGTAGAGACGGGGTTTCACCATGGTCTCGATCTCCTGACCTTGTGATCCACCCGCCTCGGCCTCCCAAAGTGCTGGGATTACAGGCGTGAGCCACCGCGCCCGGCAAATATGTATAATTTTTAATCTGGAAAATAAACCTTTTTAAAAAGATAATATGCATTCATTCTAGAATTTGTCATGAAGAACCTTAACTTACATATCAACTCTTGGTGTTATGGTCTCTTATAACCCCTGCAGTGACATTTTCCCTTTTACTCTGGAATTGCCTTTAAGTGTTTAGGAGTTTTCTCCTTTGCAACTTTGAGTTCATGCCTTAAATTTAGAATACAAAACCTCCTCAGGATTAAGTTTGGGTTCTAACAGCATCCATCTGTACCACTTCTTCCAGGGTATTAAAAACTTTGATAAAGACCAAAAGACAGGTATTTCTTTTAGGGATGTAAACCCTAAGGACTTTAAGATCCTAGAAGATTATTCTTGCTTTTTTTTTTTTTTTTTTTTTTTTGTCGTTATTGTTCTGCAGGTAACTTTCAAAAATCAGGCCTCTCGTCCCTATTCCTTCTATTCTAGCCTTATTTCTTATGAGGAAGATCAGAGGCAAGGAGCAGAACCTAGAAAGAATTTTGTCAAGCCTAATGAAACTAAAACTTACTTTTGGAAAGTGCAACATCATATGGCGCCCACTAAAGATGAGTTTGACTGCAAAGCCTGGGCTTATTTCTCTGATGTTGACCTGGTAAGCAGGTGTCTATTGTACTGACCACTTTTTGGTTTAAAAGAAATGGTCTTTGTGTGCTAAGAATTTTGGTTTTTATCCTACATGCAATGAGAAGCTTTAAATAGGGAGTTGATCACTATATTTGTGTTTTAGAAATGTCATTCTGGAATCTACTGAAGAGGATGGATTATATTTTTGGAAGATGGGAGGCAGGTTGGAGTGGCATAAAAATTGATGAGAAATCCACTCTGGTTCATAGGTGAGAGAGCTTATACTCATAGGATTGATGTCTTCCCTCCCTAGGAAAAAGATGTGCACTCAGGCCTGATTGGACCCCTTCTGGTCTGCCACACTAACACACTGAACCCTGCTCATGGGAGACAAGTGACAGTACAGGAATTTGCTCTGTTTTTCACTATCTTTGATGAGACCAAAAGCTGGTACTTCACTGAAAACACGGAAAGAAACTGCAGGGCTCCCTGCAATATCCAGATGGAAGATCCCACTTTTAAAGAGAATTATCGCTTCCATGGTAATATAACCCACATCTAAACATTATCACTGTGAAATGCAGATTGCACTTTGACAAATGAGACTTGATCCAGTGCCTTAAACATTGTATTTATTTAGAGTATATCTGTGGGGGTGGAATCCTCATAGATGTCAGTTTTTTTGGTGGAGTGGAGGGAAAGAAACTTATATAATAGATTTTAACAGGCTTCTCTGTGTCCTTCTCCAGCAATCAATGGCTACATAATGGATACACTACCTGGCTTAGTAATGGCTCAGGATCAAAGGATTCGATGGTATCTGCTCAGCATGGGCAGCAATGAAAACATCCATTCTATTCATTTCAGTGGACATGTGTTCACTGTACGAAAAAAAGAGGAGTATAAAATGGCAGTGTACAATCTCTATCCAGGTATGAGCTCGTTTGCGTTCTTTCTTCTACCTACTCTATTTGTTGAGTACTTACTTTAAATGGTCTAGGCACTGGGAACACAATCAGTGAACAAAACAGACAAGCTCCATGCTCTCAGGTAACACTTCTTCATGCTCTCAGGTAACACTTTTTCAAACCTACAGGGAGATAAATAAATTAGCAAATGAACAAGATAATTTCACATATAGAAAAATTGCTAAAAAGGAAATAGAACATAATAAATGGATAATTAATGTCATAGTACTTTCCTAGGGAAAAGGAATTTATTCCTTTATCATTTACCATCTCAAATCCCATAGGGCACCAGTAGTCATCCAAAGAGTGATTTGTTTATGTATGTAACCAATATATTGATTAAGCACTACTCATAATGTTGATCACGACACAATTCTATTTTGGTTCTCCACTGTCCCTTTAAAATAGGTTTGACCAGGTGCAGTGGCTCACACTTGTAATCCCAGCGCTTTGGGAGGCCAAGGTGGGAGGATTGCTGCAGTGAGCTATGAAAGACAGCAGCTATAAAGGGGCTTTGGGGAAGCATGATCATCACAAGGTACAGAAACAGAGGACTCAGCCATGTCTCCCTTTTCCAATGCAATTGGATGAAATGGCTCCTTCCTCTCAGTTTAGAAAAGTATTGACATATTTTAAATCATAAAAATCAATCAAAACTTTGTGATCTCACATCCCCCAGAGCTATGTCTCTCTTAATCTTTGTAATAAAGAATAGTCCACATTTGTTTTCTTTGCTTGTTCACTTTCTACTTTCTCCTTAATCCATTGCAATCTGACTCTAAATTCTACCATACCACTGTCTAAAGTCACAGGCCACAGTTTTCATCTTACTTTGCCCCTTAACACTACTAGGTAAGGTTGATCACAGATGACTACACAACTCTATGTATATACTAACAATTATTGAATTTTTATTTTATTTTATTTTAAATTTTTTATTATACTTTAAGTTCTAGGGTACATGTGCACAACATGCAGGTTTGTTACATATGTTGGCATGCTGCATGCACCCATTAACTCGTCATTTACATTAGGTATATCTCCTAATGGTATTCCTCCCTGCTACCCCCACCCCACGACAGGCCCTGGTGTGTGATGTTTCCCTTCCTGTGTCCAAGTGATCTCATTGTTCAATTCCCACCTATGAGTGAGAACATGCAGTGTTTGGTTTTCTGTTCTTGCGATAGTTTGCTGAGAATGAAGGTTTCCAGCTGCATCCATGTCCCTGCAAAGGACACAAACTCATCCTTTTTTATGGCTGCATAGTATTCCATGGTGTATATGTGCCACATTTTTTAGTTCAACCATTGTGGAAGACAGTGTGGCCATTCCTTAAGGATCTAGAACTAGAAGTACCATATGACCCAGCCATCCCATTACTGGGTATATATCCAAATCATGCTGCTATAAAGACACATGCACACATATGTTTACTGTGGCACTATTCACAATAGCAAAGACTTGGAACCAACCCAAATGTCCATCAATGACAGACTGGATTTAGACCCTGTCTCTAAAAAAAAAAAATCTGGTTTAAGAGTGGGGGTAAACTTACCCTATTTCTTCATAAAAATTCTGATAAGCCCTGTAACTTTCTCCTCACCCTTAAGTAATAAACAGGACTAAAGTCACTTTATATCACAAATACAGTTCAAATCAGAAATTACAATGTCCATCCCAAGATATTAATCAAAGTTCTGAACTTGATTTAACTTCAGTCTCCCCTCCAACTTGAGCCTGCATCAGGCTGGAAGTCTGCACTGGAAAAGGGAGACATGGTTGAGTCCTCTGTGTCTGTACCTTGTGATGATCATGCTTTGCAACAGCCCCTTTATAGCTGCTGTTTTGAACTCCAACATGGATAGGTTAAAGGTAAGGGGATAAGATAGTTCTTACCTATTTACAGCTGGCACCATTGTTGTAAACTAGCTTAACGCTGTTTGTGCCTGGCAATACTTAAAGTTGACTCTTTCTCCTGCAGGGCACTTTCAGGGAACTCTTTAGAGACTCCCTTACATGACTGTCATGAAACCCCCTTGACATGGTTTCTTCCACCTTTATTCTGGGTGGTCACTTGTGACTCATTTCTCAGCCCTCAGTGTTCACCTGCAGCTTCTTGTTGCTGGGGTAACTTTACCCTTGTAGGCAGCCCTAGTGGACTGGATCCAGTGGGAACTCACCCTGACTTATCTCTTTCACAGAGTCCACATCTGGCCAATAGGAAACACACCTTTTGCTTGGAAAAACCCTGGGGATGTAGGTCAATCATAATGCAGTAGCATTCTCCTGTCCCTATCATCAAAGAATTCAGTCACCCTGTTTCTCATCTCCTGGGGGGAGGGGAGTAGTCAGAACTCAATCTCCATGACCCCCAACTGTAAGGGTCACCTAGCAAGCACTTTGGGTTTGAGGGGTCCAAGAATAGTGGAACTACCAAATTTGGTAGGTCTACCCTGATATTTCACATAAACCAATGTATCTTATGCTCATTTTTTAGTGAAAAGAAATAATTTGTGTTCCTTTTGGTTTTTATAAGGTGTTTTTGAGACAGTTGAAATGTTACCATCCAAAGCTGGAATTTGGCGGGTGGAATGCCTTATTGGCGAGCACCTACATGCTGGGATGAGCACACTTTTTCTGGTGTACAGCAACAGTGAGTAGCCATGTGGGCAGAGGTTCCCTACCCACTCAGCCTACTTCTTTACAGCTTTCCTTCTTTCTCGAATGGTTGCTTGTGTCAGGAAATAAATACAAGTTTACATCATTATCAAATTTAAAATGAATATTGCTGGTAGAAATCATCAGAGTTCTCAGAGGAGGGCAGATATACTTGAAGCTTTGAACACTTTGAACCTGAAGCTCTAAATAATTGACCAGAAAAACACCTCATTTTCACAACTTGGTAAAGCTCTAAGATCTCCAGTAGCAGATTTTGGAATTTAATGTTGATTTAGTTACCAGATAACTTAGAAATATTACTTGGGGCCAGGCGCGGTGGCTCACGCCTGTAATCCCAGCACTTTGGGAGGCTGAGGCGGGTGGATCACAAGGTCAGGAGATCGAGACCATGGTGAAACCCCGTCTCTACTAAAAAATAGAAAAAAAATTAGCCGGGCGCAGTGGCGGGCGCCTGTAGTCCCAGCTACTCGGGAGGCTGAGGTAGGAGAATGGCGTGAACCCGGGAGGCGGAGCTTGCAGTGAGCCGAGATTGCGCCACTGCACTCCAGCCTGGGCGACAGAGCGAGACTCCGTCTCAAAAAAAAAAAAAAAAAAAAAAAAAAAAGAAATATTACTTGGAAGAGTTTGGAGATTTAACCCTAAACAAGTAAGAGAACCACTGGTCTATTTATGTATGGACCCCAGTTTTTTCATCTGTAAAATGTGAATCATTCTAGCACCTGTTAGGATTAATTAAATGAACTAATACAGTAAAACATTTAGTACAGTTCTTGGCACATTTAAACACTAAAAAAATTAGTATTTGTTGACATTCTCCCATTTTCATTGACTTACATTTGAGAAGCTGAATTTTGTGCACTTCTAGTTACTGTGTTCCACCTGTTTCATTTCAGAGTGTCAGACTCCCCTGGGAATGGCTTCTGGACGCATTAGAGATTTTCAGATTACAGCTTCAGGACAATATGGTAAATACTATTATTTTTGCTCCAAGAACCTGGGCTGATTATATCTTTTTTAATAATCTGTTGGAGAATCTCAGATAATGAATCCATCTCCATGCTTCTATTTGTTCTATTCCATAATTGCCTCTCAAATACATCTCCTCCTCTCCACTTCCCACTGTGGCCATCTTAACTCTGGTCACTATCATTTCTTACCTGGGCAATGACACTGCCTCCTTAAATATCCTCCCTACCTTCACTATTCCTTCCTTGAGTCAATTCTTTTCACTGTAGCAGGAAGCTACACTTTCCTGTGAGCAGTAATGGTAACGTTTGACTAGGGTCTATAGAGAATTATCAAAAATTGTTTTAGAGCACTACTGCCCACAGGCAAAATGCAGCACACTGCCTGTTTTTGTATGGCATGTGAGCTATGAACAGATTTTCCATTTTTAAATAATTGACAAAAAGATGAAGATTATTTCATGACATGAAATTATAAAATTCAAATTTCAGCATCCATAATAAAGTCTTATTTTGGAACACAGCCATGTCCATTAATTTACATATCATCTATGGCTACAGCAGCAGTAACATAGTTGCAACAGAGACCATATAATATGCAAAGCCTAAATGATTTACTATCTGGCCCTTTACAAAAAAAGTTTGCCAACCTATGTTTTTGTGGGGCAAAAAATCCCCTTGAAAAAGAGGCTTGGGGGGCGGAGCAAGATGGCCAAATAGGAACAGCTCCAGTCTCCAACTCCCAGCGCGAGCAACACAGAA